GTCTATACATCATTAGTTTATAAGTAATGTCCCAGAAAACTTATTGTAAGATTGCAAGTCAAGTTGGCCATTCGTCTGTCCCTATGTCCGTCTATATATCATTGCTTTATAAGCAAAGTCCCAGGAAACTTATTGTAAAATTGCACGTCCAGTTGGCCATTCGTACGTTCTTTCTCCGCTTTATAAGTACGCAGAAGACTCAAAGTTACTAAGTCCGTCCCTATGTCAGTTACATTTTTATTTTATAAAGGAATAGGGGACTGAAAGTTAGCATATAATGTGAAATTTTCTTTATTGTCTTTTGCCCAACAGATTGCCAAAGTTAAGCAGAAGTGCTGTTATGGCCGGAGTTCAGGCTTACTGACAAGCGCAATCGCTTTATCAATATTGTTGAACATACATAAAATTTCGATATTTAACGACAATCAATTACTTATTATTATTGCAATAAGCGACAATTCATATATATATATATACATCTATGTATAAATATACATTCTACAAATATACAATACATACATATATGCATATATTTATATATACATATGTATAAGCATATGCATAGGTGTAGGCATATAAGGGATAGGTTAACCTAAAATTTTGCATTAATATTCAGTTTTAAATGCCAAATAAAACAGCTTTTAAAATTTGAAGCAAACATTTAATGCATTTTACAAAAAAAAAAAAGCCAAAAAGGGCGTGGTCACCAAAAAAACAGCATATTGCAAGCTATATAGCACATAAGCACGTCTGACATTAGCAAAAATATTTCATAGAACTTTTCAATCGTTTCCGCTCGACAACGCGACAGTGCGGGCAGACGTAAATCATTTGTAGCGTGATGTCATTAATTATCATGAAACAATTTTCATCATTAATTAACATGAAATAGGTTTCGTTTAATTGACCATCAGCGAAATTTGCTAATGCCCGCTCTAGCTTTCTTTTATTTAATCTGAAAAATTACTCAGGACATACCGCCTATATGCTTAATACGGTCAGAAATAATTGAGAAAAGAAATAGAAGTAAGGAATGGACGCGGCCTAGTTCGTGCGGGCACAATCAACAACTTAAGCCTCACTATCGCTACAACCAAGTATGCTCTGCAGCAATGGAGAAGGCAAAATAGAAGCACGTAGATGATTCCCGCACGGGAAAGTAGACCTTAATTATTGCAAGAAAATGGATGGAAATGACACGAGCAATAGAATAAGTAATAGAATAACTGTACACTTGTAAGAGAACGGATGAAAAGTACAATAAGAAAATGTCTTGTTCTTGAACCACTATCTCCTTCTATTAGGTGTTTGATCTCGTAAATGTGTTATATGAAAAAAAAATGTTGTTTTCTTCTTTAATTCTTTACATCCCGCGCCGATTGTCGCGTAAGGAAATATTAAGTTTGGACGAATGTATGCAGCACCCAGAAGAACTTGATACATAACCACCTTTGATTATACCGTTCGATTCTGATTCACTTTCTGAATCGATTTAATCTTTTCTGTCCATCCGTCTATCTGTCTTGTTTTCTTGTGTTTATCCCACAGGCAGTAATTTTTGAGAGATTTTTTGATGAAATTTGGTGCATTTACGTATTTTTTTGCTCAAGGAAGAACAAGGTACAGAAAATGGTTCGGATCAAGCCACTTTCAACCCCAAACCTTATTATGAAACTCCTTTGCATGAATACCTGTAACTGTAGAGTGACGTAGAGAACATTTAATGGTCAATGGAGTTGTGGCCCATTATAGTACTTTTTGTTGTTCTTGTTTTTCCTATATTTATGAATTTTTTAATTTATTGGCAATTTTTAAATTTTCAATAATAAATTAATTTGTTTTTCTTATAAAAATGATATCTTATTCGCTTCACATCCACCTTAAACGAAGGAGTAGGCAAAGCATGTGAACAATGGTCATGGATTCAAGCCTCAAAAGTGGTCAAAGCGTTATATCCAATAAGCCACTTCTTTGGGCCAAGTTATATTCGCATCTTTTTGATTTTTCGGCAAAATTTGTTATACGAACCTATGTATTGATGTATTTGATGCCTAAGCATTTCATTACTTGATTTCATTCATGTACAGTATGTGCGTCTGTGGCGGAATTTTTAAAGTACCGTGTATGTGTGTGTGCGTTTTCGCTTGTGTGGGAGTGGGTTTTAAAAAATAAATTACACAGCTAAGTGGTTAATATTATATATAATAAATAAAATTATTTGCGTTTGGTTGTTTGACTATCGATAATTACGAATAATATATATTTTCTCTTATAAGCACAAAACAACAAAAAAAAGCTAATCATTTAAAAATGATTAAATTTTGTATTTCGCGTACGGAGGAGGATACATGTGGCTGGGAAGACTCAGACACGCATTCAAAGCCAATTCCATTTACAACAATTTATTAAAAAGAGAAATCTTCTCAAAATTGTTTTTGTCTATAACCATAGCTAAGCAAAGAAAAGTCTGTTGAGAAACTACTTTCGTTTAAAACAAATTAAAAACAAAAAATTTATAAATTACTTGTATATTTTCGAAAGTGAAAAAAAAAAAACAAATATTTAACAAGTTTTAACTCTGGCATGTTGGATAATATTCTTTGCATTGACACAAGTATGAGTGGGGCCTTACTTTTTAAATGTCCCCGAGTTGCTCCCAGTATTTCAATGCAATGCCTTAGGGTATCCCAGGTATCCCTGAATCCAAACTTAACTTGAGCCTCCACATTGCAAGTATTTCGAAAATTGTGCAATCTTGAGATCGAGATGTCTCTTCGAATCAAGTCTGGTATTTCTCGGTCTCTTCTCATGTCTCATACTAATGTTAATTATGTGTACTCGTACTCAAGTCTTTGCCATATGCCCGTCGTACATTGTACGTTATATATACATTATATATGTATATACATATTATACGATAATTACATATATACACCACGTATGACGCACTGTTCAACTTATTGTCCAACTTATTGCCAATCTTATTACGTTTTGTTTCTAATGTCAAACTCAGGGACCACGTTTCTTTCTGCGTTCATGACCTTTTTAAAATGCTCATTCTTCAATTAGACTCCAAGAATTTCTTCTATACTAATATCATGTTTTTCTATCCCTTTGGCTGAACGATTCTTTTAATGCCCATGCAACTCGGTATTAGAAAGCGTTGCTGCTGGTTTTTGAAATCTTTTGGTGATTCCCAGAATACTTTTGAAGGAAAATTGACCGAATACTTCCCTTTTTCTCCTCTTTCTCTACTCGCTATCAGGAAATGATTCCTGCGAGTAAGGAGCGCCGTGATTACATACATCAGTAGTCCTTTAATCGACTTATATGTCATACTTATGCAAAAATCTGTCACGTATTTTATAGTTATGTGCCTTGCCGTTATGGATATTGGGCTTTAAGTTTGTATTCATAATAGCGATAATAAATCAAGTGAAAAAAAATTTCTTAGAAAAAAAATTTTCCCATACTGATCAGACAGATAATATTAAATAAAAAGAGACGATAGTCTTAGTCGCTCAATCTACTTTCAGTCCTAAAATTTATATTGTAGATAATAATAATAATAAAAACCAATCTCAGAACCAATGGTCTTAACTGCCACCTTACTTAAGTACTTATATTACTTCATTCCGAGAATATATTTCTTTGAGGTAAAAAACTATAACAATGATAAAATAAGAGCATTATAGTGGGCCAGACTCCATCTTTAGATATCATTATTATTCGTTTGAAAACTTTTTAAAATAAGACGCTATATAGAGCAAGTGGTAGAGAAAGTGTTCCGATCCGTGATACTTTCAATAGCATTTGTTTTTGAAGCAAAACCTCTCAAGCTACAAAATTTTATCGGAATATCTTAAAAATTACGCCTCGGACCAAACGAAAAAGGCGAGCAAGTCCTTCCGGCTGTTCGTTTTTGAGTGAAAGATAAGTGGGCCCAATCAAAATATCTAAAAGTTTCCGAGCTGAAGGTTGTACTCAACAACACAAGACAGAGGGACAAACAAGCTTAGAAAGTGATCCCGAATCGATTGACATAATAGAACATGCTGTTCTTCCTTAGGCGAAAACATGTGGGCCTAATCAAAATATCTTAAGACTTTCGCACTGTACACACTCAACAATACATGACAGACGGACAAACTAGCGTAGACAGTGATCCCGAATTGATTGGCATTATTATGCCACGAGCTGTCGATTAAACTCAAGAATACAAGATAGTACAGGTGGACAGAGGGACAAAATAGCCTAGAAAGTGATCTGAATCGAGCGAGTATAGTAAGTGATGAATGTATCTCAAGTCCTTCTGGCTGTTATATACATATTTCCACATAAGGTTATAATTATAAGTTTGCATCAGAAGTCATGTGGGATATGAAAATAATAAAAAATTCTCGGATCTTTTTGAAATTTATTTTCATTTTGTTTTTTCTTTTTTTTTTGTTTGTTTAATCAGTTTAACTGTGTGTGTGTGCAAAACAATTTTTCTAACTAAAAAACTTTATCAAGTTCTGCTTAAGTCTCTCTATAGGAGATACTCCTCACTAATCCTATTTACAAGCGGTCTTTCAAATTGAAAAACAGAAAAAAATCGCACCTTTTTCTCTTTGCTTAATCCTAACCAGAAGTAGGTATTTACATTATCTTTATGAATATGAAAGGCAAAATTCTTAACTTTATGACTTTTGAGTTAAATTTACTAACAAAAGTAAACCACAAGAATAAAAAAAAAAAAAAGAAGAAAAGGAAGAAATTTAAGCCGAAAATCGCTTAACAAGCCTAGCACAGAAGTCAGCGCAAACGCCTACTTTTAAATCCGCGTTATCAGCTTAAGGTGTCTTAACACTTATGCACAATAACCATATATAGATGTATATATATATATATATATATGCGCATCGCCTTTTGTAACGGTTTGAAGGAGAAAGGCTTTAAACAAAAAAAAAAAAAAAAAAAAAAAAAAAAAAACATTTCAATTCTGATAATAAACTTACCGGTGTGTGTACGTTTGTGTATTTTTAAATTTTCACTGCGTGCGAAAACTTTACCGCAACCAGGATGAGGACAAGCGAACGGTTTCTCGCCAGTATGCACACGTATATGATTGACAAGTTTATATTTAGCTTTGAACGGTCGGCCATTACGCGAACAGCCAATCCAATAGCATACGTGGGTTGTGCATTCGGGACCGCCGACATGCTCGACCGTTAAATGGGTGACAATCTCATGCATCGTATGAAAGATTTTATTACAAATTTTACGAGAATTTGGTCCGCCCGGTTGATCGGGATCAATCCATTGACACTGCATTTCTTGTTTAATTGTTGTGGCGGCGGTGGGCGGCTGATGGCGCATGTAACGTAAAAATGCCCCAGCTCCGGCAGGATGCATACTCATGTGCTGATGATGAGCATGTACCGACGGAAAGTTAGTATGATGTTGCGCATGAGCATAGGGATGATGCGGTGCATAGTCGGCCATGCCCATGCGCATTTGATGCGAATGATGATGATGATGATGGGCGGCATGATGAGGATGAGTATGAAAGGGATGATTGCCGAAGGACGAAGTCAGATCGGGATGGTTAGCGTGGGAGGCAGGAAACGTAGGAAACAGCATTGAATCGGCAGCTGTTTGGCCAACAGTTTGACCACTGCCACCCGTCGCCGTTATATAATCCTGATCTGCCCGACGTCCCAAAAGAAAATCACGCGATGAGTAAGAACTTAGTTGAGGATTGAAAGGAGTGTAACCGCTATTTTGATAGGCCGCCGAAGGCGTAGACATATCCGTAGACATAAGGCCGCTACTGTCCATTTGCTGATGACTTTGGGGATCATCATGTGGCTGTTGTTGTTGTTGCTGCTGATGTAATTGCTGTTGTTGGCCCGTTAGATCGGTTTGCTGATGGCCCGGTGTATTGGGCGACAATCGTAGACCGTACGAAGCCAGATGATGTTGATTTGTCGATGGATCTATAAAAGCGTTCATCATCATCGTGCTTAAGTTAAGTTAAGTTAAGTTCTAAGGAAACTTTTATTAATTAATGTATAATGATTTATAATGATTTATTTGTTAACTTATAAATTTTTTCTTTTTTCTTTTTTTTTTTTTGGTAATTTCTTCTAAATTTTCTTCTTTTTCTTTCTTTCTTTTTTTGTAGCAAATTTTTTAAACACAAGTTAGGTTCACATTTTTCTTCACTTTATTCCTTCTTTTATTAATTAACAACACTTTACGTATTCTTTCCTTCTTATTTCTTTTTCAATTTTTTCCCTTTTTTTCTTATTTTTTTTTTATTTTTTGTTTGCTTTAATCTTCTCTGTTTTAAATTGTAAATAATCCGTTAATTTGTGAATAATTTTTTCGCGTTCATTTTAATATTGCAAACAGCATGCGGCAGCTGTGTTACGACTAAACTTTTCGATACAAGATGCGCAGCAGGACTGAACTGACTCCTGCAAATGTGTTAACTCAACTCACACAACAAACGATGTCGATGACGATGAAAATGAGTGTATTCAGCATATACGAGTAAGCACCACTAAGGGGCTTGTGTTTAACGACCCCTGGCTGGGGTGTGTGTCTAAAAAGCCAAGCATCGTAATATGCGTTCTTATGTGTTTGTTGTTGCTGGCTGCGCAATGCATTTCTTCTTCTCTATATCGATGCATAAGTGCTGAAAGTAACAGCATTCTATAAGCCCGCTGTTGTTGGCCAACGCGCGAGAAATATATATATATATAAGCGCACGGCACGTTTATAACAAAAAACTGAAGCGAGATCAACCAGCACAGTATGTTTGTAAAAAGTATCTAACGTAGCGGAATCGTGCGCCACATACCGAGGTGTTGCAGTCAGTCAACAGCTAATTCACCAAAATAATACAAAAACAAGTTAGTATGCATAAACACACTAAGAATCCCAAACAAAAACAAAAATCTTATTTCAAAAGCAAAGAAAGAGAGAAAATTTAATTTCTTCATATGAATGGCTCGAGTAAAAAGTAAAAACAAGTTTTCCATATATAAATATATACAAGAGCGAGAAGAGCTCCACTCTATGCTATGCTTATACAAAATTAGAGAGAGAATGCTATTGAAAATGAGTAAAGTGTTGAATTTCCTTAAATAAAGAGGTGAGTTTGTCCAATTGACTGAATGTTTAGCAGTTAAAGCGAGACAACTAGTGTCCTTGTTATAGATATTGCGGTTTACAAAAAAATAAAACAAATGGCTGCCTATTGTATTAAAAGATAATGAGAAAGAGAGAGAGCACAATATAGAAGTAAAATAAAAAAAGAAATCTAATTAGAATCATTTTAAAGGATTTTGCATCTCTTTTTTGCCTATTCCCTATTAAAAATATTTCCCCTGAATGTACACAATTTTAACAATGGTGGTTGAATTGATGGGACAAGAAAGTAAAATAATATACAATATAACCGCAAAGAGTAAATTTTTATTTTGTGTTTTTTTTTTTTGTTTACCTTTTCTCCACCTACGCCTTATATGCATATCTGCAGTGATTTGTTAAAATAGAGACGCCTGCTTTAAGGAAAAGAGAAGGCGTGCTTACGCATGTCTGTTACCTTTGTTGTATAAAATAATTACGGGATTGGTTAATGACTTGTTTTAACTAAGTAATTATTTAGTTAGTAGAAAATATGTTGTTTGTAATTAGCAACAGCAGGTAGAGAGATATTATTAATATTTTTTCAAAAAAATATATGAAAATTATTCATGAAAATTTATTTCTATTAAAGAATGCTTTCGTTAATAAATTAAATGAATTTTTTATATTTTTCATTAGCATATATGTTTTCGTTGTTGCATTGCATAAGAAGTGTTTTTTCTTTTTTTTTTTTTTGTCGTCGTCTTTTTTTGTATTTTATTTTGCAAGCAGTTTTTATTAATAGCTATTTTCCTTCATCGCCATTTTGCTTTGATCGTTTTGATAGCTTGTCATGATTTTTGTCAGTCATTCTATTTCAATTCTGTTGCGATTTTCTTAACTTAATTGGAAATCAATGTCATTTAACGTAAGAACATTAAAAATAATGACATGTGTTCGAGAACAAACAAAAAAAAAAAAAAAAAAATTATTTATTTGAAATGTTATCCGATATTGATTGACAAGTTTTATGAAATTAATAGATGAGAAACTATATAGTACTTGCATTTATATTATTAAGTTGTGGGCATAAAAACTTCAAAGACAAGGAAGCTTGAGAAAAGGAAAGATTTCCAGGATGAAGAATGACAGAGGCATGACTTCGCCGATATCCGCTTTAAGCTTTCGAGCAAGTACACTTCAGTTTGTCCACCTTGGAAGGCGGGTGTCTTAGTTATGAACTAATGTCCTTTGACGTTACAGGCGTCAAGTCAGCTCACTATGCGTGTTCACGCTCGGTTCACAACCTTGTGTAAGGCAAGTTATAATTGGATGTTAATCAATAAATTACGAAATGATTAACTAAACAAAAATATTATTATTTTAATTATTATAACCATTTTGGTCAGGGAAATAAATTCTAAGCCTAAAGTCTTAAGCTAGGCTACGAAGCATCTGAGGCTATCGACTTTACTGAGAAATTAACTCCGCCGCACTTGAGATTTGGATCCGCAACAAGTGAGTTCTTAGTCGAGATTCTTTGTCTATTCGACCAATCAGGCGGATGAGAAATACAAGCATAACTAAAACTAGTAAGAAAATAAATTTGATCAGAACCGAATCTTTTATACACAGTTATCTTAAAAAAAGATAAAAGAAGTAAAAGTGTTAAATTTTCATGCTCTGCAATATGGACTGAGCGCAGCTAACTTTTCTCTGTTTTCAAAATAAAAGCTTTTGTCGTTTAGGCTTAGGGGCGTTGTAGACGCGTCCTATGAAAAGTTTAGGTCAACTCCAAATTCTTTTGCAAATTCGTAGGCTTCGTTGGTATTGAAAGCGAGCCATCTCATTCGAAGGACACACCCATAGCATCACGTAAACTGAGAACATCTCCGTGTTTTAAAAGGAATAAAAAAATGGTTTTTTCCGCGTTACTCACAAACTAAAGCAGATAAATGTACAAAAATTTTAAAGCATGTATGGGCGATGTTGTGCTATCTGCGAAAAAATTATAAAAAATTGACCACGCCTATCCAATATTATAATGCATCAAAATTTAATGGTTTTTTTAATGTCTTTGAAAGGCTTGCAAAACCTTGCAAAATACAAAAGTTATCGGCCAGTTTCAAATGTTGTTATGCAACAAGTCTCCTTGTTCGTCTGTCCATCTGTCTGTCTGCGCAACTGTGTAGTACATGTGGTAAATATTCTCCCGTTAGCGGAAATGAAGATGTCGCCTACAAATTTACAAAAGGATTTGGAAGTGACTTAAACTTCTCCAAGGATACACTCCTTATTTTGAGAATAGAAAAAATTTACTGCGCTCACTCCATATTGCAGAGCATGAAAATTTAGTTCTTTTACTCTTTTTGTCTTTTCCAGGATAACGGTGATGGGTATAAAGAATTCGGTCAAAACCAAATATAATTTTCTTAGTTGTTTTATGTGCATTTCTTAACAAACACTTAAACCTCCGAAAAAGGCCGCCTATCTCGTTAAGCTATCTTCACTTCGGTAACAATTAAATTTGTGTTAGCCATTGAAGTTTGCAGATTTAAGCATTGAAGGCGAATGGATACATGCTTTGCGAGTTTTTGTCAATATTTATCCATAAGTTAATACAAGTTGGTTAAGTTTTTTCAAGCTAACTAAGTTTCACGGAGTTAACTAAGCTGATAATGGAAATTAATTTTCAAATTTGATTAACGTAAAATTTTCTTATTTAAACACACACACACACACACATCAGCGATTTTTTATTAATATTACTATTTATATCTGTCGTTCTCAATTTACTTTTAGCTATGTAGCTTCGACACAGAGTGTATGAAACTTATCCGGAAAAGTTAGATACGATTTTTTGGTATATAATGATGTCTTCATTATGATATAAATAGATATTAGGTTGTCCGGAAATTTCTTGCTTCTAAATTAACTCTTTTCAGATACCTAGAAAGATAATTAGGTTAAAAAGTTGCATGCTCTACCGACTGAGCTAATGGGGCTGTTTTACATATCTCTTTCGCGAATCTTTAGTTGTTGTTTTGTCGAATAGAAGAAGAAGAAAAGAATTAATGTTATATATAGGTATGTAGAGAAGGCTTATCTTTATTTTTTTAAAAATTTTCAAACTGATCGGTTGTGTTGTAATAATGAAAGGATATTTTTAAAATGGAAAATCACAGAGAGTACATTAGGACGGCAGAAACATATGCAACGCTGCCTGTGATACGCTCTAATAGTGTAGCAGAAAGTTGCATAACGATTCGTGAGATTGACGAGAAACTTAATTCATCCAAAGCGACAACTCCTTTATTCCTTATACAAAGAAAAAGAAAATTATCTTATTTCATAGTGAAAAACCGCAAGAAATTCCGGGACCACCTAATAAGAACGCTTTTTTAAGGCGGGATTCTTTAAATTACTGCGTTTTCCCTAAAAAAATAATTTACTTTCTCACTGCCAATGGAGCTCGCAGTATAACTCTATCAGTGCTTCATACCATTTTGCAAAAATGTTTAATAGTGTGAGTAAGTTCACAAAGCCTGCTAGATTTTCAGCAAATTTTCTTTTCTATTCATCTTACTTGAAGTCAAAATGTTAATTGTGAATTCATGAAAAAATCAAACCTCGCCTTAATGTGTGAGCACAGTGCTCGTTGCTGCTTAGGTTTAGGTAGGTAGCAGATGGAGGCTTAGGTTTATGTAAAAGATGTTTGGTGACAAACTTTTCCAAAGCCACCTCGTTCAAGGTTATAACAAAGGCGGTATTGCTAAGGACAATTTTTCTTGGAATTGATCAGACTGAGACAATTCTTAACAGTTACCTAAAAAGACTTTACCAGCTTTCCTAATGTATGGAATTACTTTGTCTATACGGAATTTCTCGAAGACTGACCTCACCTTAATAAACTTTTATCTTTAAGATTTGTGCAACAATAAAACTTTCACTTGACGCTAAAGTGTAAAAAATATAGTATTCAGGAACATTGAATGAATCGACCTCTGAGTGGAGAGCATAGCCATAGCATTTGGGTTTTTAATTCAAACTAGAGCATGGCATTATCGGAAATACAAGAAGCCATTAAGCAGACCAAAGGAACCATTAACATTTCGTGTGATTGTTCAATCGGTCTGATCACAGCGAGACAAAGTTCAATGTTTCCAACTATTCTTCTAGGAACTTTATTTTTGGATATAATCACTAGCTTTTCAATCTTTTAGGCTTTCCTTTACAAAAACCTAAGCGACATTTATAGTGTAATCTCAATATCGGTTTTTTTACATTCTCTCAAATTAGCTCCCCTTGTCTATGCCTACGTTGTAGCTGAATTAAAACTTCCTTTGGTATAATAAAGTGAGTATGTACACTATTATCAACTGTGAAGCTGTTGTAAGTTTGAAAAGGCTTAGAGAGTATGGGTCTATACAGGTGCGGGTGTGCCGTCATGCTAGATGTGTACATGCCTCGCCTATTTTCTTTTCTTTTCTCTTTCTTTCTTTTTTTTATATTATTCAGTTTGTATGGGTGTGTGCAACACCCAGAACAAGTTGAGATAAGCCCATCTATTATTCAGCATCACTTATCGAATCGATTTAAACTTGTCTGTCCAGCTGTCCATCTTGTTCTCTTCTATTCAACGTATATGTCGAAATTTTCGAGATATTTTGATTCAGAGGCCTACTATGGCTGTCTGTCTATCCATGTATTT